GTGTGAGATTCGGGCATTCAAATCGAACTTTTGTAATTACAATAAACCTTGTATTGAACTTTTTAAATTGTGAGTGCAGAGTAGACTATTATGGATCCATCCGAGTTTCGTAGATATCTTGCTGCATGTTCTGCTGCATGGATAGCATCTTGTGTTTGCTACTGGTATTATACTACACAATCGTCAAGTGTGCAAATTCATAGTTCATTACGAACTGGGTCTGAATTTGTTACATATATAATGAATTCAAACCCCCGTAACTGTTTCAATTTGTTGCGGATGGAAAGGGATGCTTTTAAAAAACTATGTACACTTTTGAGAGCAAAATCCCTACTTCATAATAAGAGAAGTGTGTTGGTAGAAGAACAAGTGGCTATATTCTTGAATACAGTTGCACATAATGAACGTAATAGGGTGATGCAAGCTCAATTTCAACATTCTGGTCAGACTATTAGCTATTATTTCAATAAAGTGTTGAAGGCAGTTGTAGCTTTGGGTCCGGATTTCTTATTACCCCCTGGCAGAGAAATACCTGATTGCATCTTAAACAATCCCATGTTCTATCCATATTTTAAGGTAACAAATACCCACTGCTTTAGAAACTTAGTTAAGCTGCTATTTCGGTTTATTACAACTAACTTGATATTGCCTTGCAAGGATTGTGTTGGAGTAATCGATGGAACACACATACCAGCTTGGGTTGGGAGCAACACAAACGAAAGATTCCGTAATAAAAAGGGTGAACAATCCCAAAATGTATTGGCTGCTGTCTCATTTGATATGTGTTTCCAATACGTACTTGCTGGTTGGGAAGGATCTGCTGCAGACTCAAGAATTTTAGATAGCGCAATTAACAGAGAGACTAATCCTTTAAGAGTGCCTCAAAGTAAGACTGATTGAATTCTCATATGTACATGTATGTGGTTAATGTGTAGCTATTAACATTTTAGACTTATTACGGTGTAGGAAAGTACTACCTCGTGGATGCAAGCTATCCCAATACGCATGGTTTTATTGCCCCGTATCCTGATGTTGAATGTCAATTTAATGAAATTATGGATACTCAAGCTCCGAGGGCGCTACAAGAGTTATTTAATCATCGGCATTTGTCATTGTGGAACATTGTTGAACGCACATTTGGATTATGGAAAGCACGCTTTCCTATCCTAAAGAGCCAATCTCGCTATCCTTTTGATACACAGGTCATGCTTGTTATCGCTACATGCGTATTGCATAACTTTATTCGAATGACAACAGGAAACGATTCCGAAATCGAGTCAGGGTTTGAAAATCAGGTGATGCAAGAAATGATAGGAACATATGAGGGTGATGAAAATAATGAAACATTGATGATAGATTCTCAAAGTATTGACGACCATGATTTTGGTGTACAGTTGCGAGAGGAAATTGCAACACAATTGTGGGATGACTATCAAAATAGTTGATACAATCCAGTCATCTTATTCAATTTTGCACATATTTGTAATTACGTCAAAATTTTATTTAAATACATAGACTGTGATAATAGTTTTGGGTTTTTGCTTTTATTGTTGTTCTTATCTTTATTATGCATATGATACCGAGGAATGCAGCCTTATAGACAAAGGGGAACATACAAAAGCCCACTAAATAGGAGGTAATGATTTCTTGCGTTTCTTTGATATGTTAATATTTTCGTGCACAATGTCTAAAGTAACTTACGTAAATATACATATAGTGCATGTGTATGGCTTTCATTACCTGAGTTCATTGTTTCACTATTGTTTGGCTTCCGACTAATGTGATTCATGTAAAGGAGATCATGAGAATTGATGTGAAGCTTAGTTGGAAGAAGGGAAGGAGGATCACCTTCCCTGAAGATCACATTAATTTATTTTCTATTTTTCCCTTGTTGGTTTTGATGTGGTTATGATTGTTGGGTCTTGTATTTGAAAGACTCAAGCTCCATATATATGTTTGTATGTGTGCGCATTTGTGATGGGTTCAATTTCTCTCTCTCTACTTTCTTTGCTGAATGGCTCGAGGTTAACTCATATGTGGCATGTTATGGCGTGTTAGCATTCACTTGTTATTTGATATGTAATTATTTGAGATGGTTTTGTTTGGGATGGATGTTCGAGATCAACTTTTTAGAGATAAAATTATATGACCGGCCTTTGAATTTCCTGCAATATTCTGTGTCGTAATGTTGAAGCTTTGAAGCTTATTGACGATGCATTTGAGATGAAATTATTTGAAATAGTTATTTAACTTTGGATATTTTTGTTGAAATTTTTCTACAGGGCTTTGAATTTTTCGCAACATTTTATGTACCAAATTTAAGCTCTCTAGGTTATTGTTTAGTAAAGTTATTTGAGATGAAATTATTTGACATGGATCTAATTATTTCGCAAACATCTTGTGTATTAAATTAAACCTTTTAAGCATATTCTAGATGTATTTTAGGTGGTTGGTTGCAGCAAAATGATTTTAATTATTTGATATATTATTTGAGATGAAGTTATTTGACATGCTTTTTTTTTTTTTTTAGTTTTATTGTAGTGACTTGACAGTCTTTAAATTTGTGTTCAAAACTAAACCTCTCGAGCATATTTTTTATGTAATTTAGATGGTTGTTTGTAACAAAATTATTTCAGTCATCTGGTTTTCTTTTGTTATTTGGGATGAAGGTATTTGACAGGTTTAAATTCCTCAATTAGCCTGTGTAGTAAATTAAAAGTTATGTGTAAAAATAGATGTTCCTTCGCCGCGTTCATCGATCATCACAATGAATGATGGATAGTATATTTGAGAGAAATCTATAATCTATTAGTTCTTTTCAACATGAGATGGATTAAATGACTCTGTCTAAATGCAATTCAAACGGTCCTCAAGTTTTTTATATTCTTATGTGCACTTTTGCATCATAATGGATCAAAGAAAAGATAAAAATATATTGCATCGTTCACAAACGGTCTTCAAGTTTCTTAAATTCTTATGTGCACTTTTGCATCATAATTGATCAAAGAAAAGATAAATTATATTGCATCATTAACTATCGTGTTGGAGAAGTGGAGCAAATAGAAGTTATAGGAGACGACTGTATAGTAAATGGGAGATGTATATACATAATTATTCTAGTGTACACCGCACTAATTATGAATTTAAAATTTACTGCTCTAAAGCTTTTGACCATAAGATGGCTTTTATGTTTTAAAAAAAAATGAAAGAGAGAGAGAGATCAAATTTATCAATCAGATGATTGTAAACTTTGACTATAAAATGTCTTTATATGTTGTTCAAAAATGAGAAAGAGATCAAATGAAATGAAGGGCGAGGGAGAGGGCTCAAAGTTATCAATTAAATGAAGTCTCGTAATAATTAACTATAAAGGTGGAAATAAATTGTTAATAATATTTTGTGATCTCTATATCTATATTGCATTATTTTGTCAAAGTTAATAGGATGACATGTGTCATTGAAAATAAGAAGGGACTTTAATTCTATAGAGGTTATAGGAGACGTTCCCGTCTTTAAAGGAAGGAGAGTATATATTATTTTCAGTCATGAGAGAGCAATCTCTTAAAATTAGTGTGTGAAATTAGTGTGTGGTGAGAGAGATCGATTACGCATTTTTCAATTTTCCCTTTAAGACAGAATAAGGGTATCTCAATTTTCCATTTAGAGAGATCTATCAACAAAAATACTTAAATATCAACATAATTAGTTCTAATTTAAGTATGCCATAGTTTTAGATGCTTATCATGTCAACAAATATCAATTCTTATTAATATTTTAAAACCATATGCATGTAATTTTTTTGGGGATGATTTTTTTTAAGATATGCGTGCAAGTTCCTCTTTTTATCGCCATTTGCTTTTTTTCTTTCGCTTCCATTTAAAAAGTAGCATTTCTCTCTTTCTTTTAGTAACCCTAGCCTTTCTCTCTCTCTCTCTCAACGTGCTCTCTATCCATTGTTTTTCAACTTGGTTTTTCTCTCTCAACTTTGTCTCTTTCCCTCCACGGTCATAATAATCTTATTAAATATGAAAAAAGAGAGGATTGATGTGGGGGAGAGAGATAGAGAGAGATGGATGTGGGAAAAAGAGATAATATCTAAGAGAGAGAGTATGCATATCAATTTTATTTTTTCCATTGTCTTTTTTTTTATTAGATATACATTAAATTTTTTAAAAATGATATTTCATTAGAAAACCATACTAGATATGCATGCATTTTTAAAAAAAATTATTAATTTTTTCGATATGCATGCAAGCTCTTCTTCTTCTTTTTTTACCCCTCTCTCTTTTCGGTTCTTACATTTAAAACTAACATTTTCTCTTTCTCTCAATGGTATATCTCTCCCGCTTTTTTTACCCCTCTTCTCACATTTAAAATTAACCTTTTCTCTTTCTCTCAATGGTATATTTTTCCCTCTGTGGTCTCTTTCTCCCACTTCTCTTTTAACTTTGTCTCTCTCTACAGTTAATATTTACTTTTTTGCTCCTCTCACTCTTGCTATACATGCAAATTTTTTAAAAATGATCATTTATTCAATATACATTTAAAACTAACCTTCTTCTCTCTAAACTTGGTCTACCTCTCGCTCTCCTTCACAATGTGGTTTTTCTCTCCCGCTTCTCTCTCAACTTGGTCTCTCTCTACATTAAATATTTACTTATTGCTCTCTTTCTCATCTCATTTTTTCTTTTAGTTTTTTGGGTTTATTTCTCATTTCTTTATTTTTTACTAGTTTTCTCTTAGGTTTTGTTATATTGGTTGAGAGACTAAGTTTCTTCTTTGAGATAATGGTTCACTGTCATGCTTTACTTTTTGATATTTTGTGTTACAATGTTCTATGTTCAAATGGTTTGCAATTTTTTTTTTAGAGAAACTTTATGGGTTGTAGTCCAAATAGAGAGAGAAGGTTCTAGCAAGGTTTATAAATATAATAATTATAAGTATGATTGTAATATTATTACCATCATAATTTGTTATTTACATCCTATAATATAATTTAATTATATATTTTTTAATTTTTTCCCATAGATTTTAAAAGTGCAATAAGTAACATTGTCTTTGATATAAGACTCATTAATAAACTAATATTCTTTAAAAATAAATTATGAATTTTTGTGCTCACTGATTTTATTTATGACCAATCCTTTAATGTGCTTTTAAAGTTATCAAAACGAATTTTTTTCACAAATAATAATTTTTTATTGTCACTTTTAAACAATAGCTTTATTTTTGTAATTTATTAATTTTAAGTTATTAAAAAGGATTTTTTTTTGGTGTTGTTATGCTTTCTATAATTATAATAACTTTTAAACTTTATTATAAATTTCTAAATATTTGAAATCTATATTACATTATTAAGTTAGAGTTAAGGGGTGATCATGTGTTGCAAAAATAAGAAGGGCCCTAACTCTATAACGATTGTAGGATATATTCCCATCTTTAAGGGAAAATATAAATTTTTTAACTTTTTCTCCTAGATTTAAAAAGTGAAATAAATAACATTGCCTTTTATATAAGACTTATCAGTAAACTAAAATTATTTAAAAAATAAATTATGAATTTTTGTGCTCATTAATTTCATTAGTATAACTATAAGCTTTTTTGTTATTAGTATGATTTGTTTGTTTTCATATTGTATGCATGTGATATGGTTTTCACACATTCAACTTCTTAATCATATGTTGTTGACTATTACAAGGTATTTTTTCTGTTATTACTTATTTTCATTTAATACCTAAGAAGTATCATCCTCACACTTATGGTACAATAGTATTGTCAATTATTGATTAGGTTACAAGAAGTTACTTGTAAAAATAAAATAAAAAATAAAATATACAATTAGTTGAAATAGAGTCGCCGCCTTCCCATAGAATATGTATAGCGTATTGATAGATCATGAGGTGATTTAGAAAGCACATAGATATATATGAGATAGTCGTGATTGTTTATTTTATTATTCTACCGCACGAGACACATAATCCAACTAGTTAAGAATAAATCAATAATTTCTAATTTGAACCATCCACTTTGTTAATAGGGCTGTGAATGGGTGGCGATGAAAAAATATCACACAATGAATAAATATCGACTTCCAATCCATGAACGATATGTTGAATGGCTAAAACATGCTAATTTTTCACATTCGTTGGTTTTACCTAACAAAGAAATCGTAAACATTGAAAATGCAAACACATTACCAAAGTAGGGTTTCTAGTGGTCCTAATTTATTGGGGATTTCTAAATCCATGTTCTCAAACATGGCATAGTGCTGTTAAATAACCTTAATTTTTCCAAAAAGAAAAATAACTATGATTTGGAGCTCAAAAAGTGCTCCAAATCTATTCCCACTCCAAAAATGACTCTTCCAAAAATGACTCTAAACCATCAATTTATTGGGGGAGCATATATTGCAATTTAAGAGCTGAAGAAGTTTATTTTTCTTTTTCTTTTTTTCTCTTTTGGAATTGGATGCATTATGAATTATAAGGCTTTTCGGAAATCTTCAGGTCATATTCAATTTGTTAACTAACCAAGTGGTTGGTCCATGGAACAACTTCAAAATTATTGGCCTGAGGAACCATAGGAAATTTACTTGTGAGAAACTTAGCAAGTTAGGTCAATTGAAGTTTATGATATAGATCTAATTCAAACAAGAAAAAAC